TCTGTTCACATTCAGAGGTTTTAGCTTTTGGGGAGCCTTTCCCAGGAAATTCAGTTGTAAAATAGTAAAGATTCTCACCCAGTTCCAAACATGCTGTTTACAATGTGTTAATTGGTGCTTTTTCTTCTTCAGTTGTCAGCAGCTAACGGCCAGCCATAGGAATGTAGCCAGTTTTTCCCCTGCTGGTTTGGAGGGCTTTCCTTAGATGGAACAGAAAGACTGCCATCTCTCTGTGATCAACAAGGCAACCCTCCATTACCTCTTCAGGTGACTTTAGGCCCTTTTTAGGGCTCCCAGCAGGGCGAAGAGCCCTGCCTTCCTGCGTCCCATCCCACTGTGATGCAAAACCGGAAGCCCATGATCCAGCTCTTTGATTGTATTGGAGAAATGTGTTGAGCTGAAGAGGGGAAGAAATAGAGATATTCCATATTTCAATATTTTATTTCTCTTTTATACATGAAATAAAATGAATAATAAAACAACTGGAGTACCATTTGAACATATTTTCATCATCAAAATCATCACTGGTCAATTGCAAAAAGCAGCTTTATTTGGAACAGCTTACATCCAGTGATGATACCTTTAATACCAACAACATCTGCCTATCCCAGGACCTTGGAAAGGTCTCACTAGTGGAAAGAAAAACCAGTCCGAACATTTGGCTGACTACACAATGCACCATAATAATCAATTAACACCATGAAATATCAACATTTGCCCATCCTAGGTCCTAGGAAAGGACTTGATAGGTGGTTAAAAATGTCAAGCCCAGTCTGAACATCTGGCTGACTTAACACCATGAAATATCAACATCAGCTCATCCTAGGTCCCTGGGAAGGACTTGATAAAAAGGCCAAACCTGGTTTGGTCTAAATATATTCGCATGCCTTGATACATACCATCCAGAAATAGAAACCAGTAGTTGCTGAATGGAAAGGCATCAGTTTTGGGGGAGGATTCAGTGGAGTGAGAACATAGAAATCAGAGATCCTTCCTCAAATACTAAAACAATCACCGTTCAACTCACATGCACAAATGACACTCAGGAAAGCCCTGCCAATATCCCACAAGTAGGCTTTGTTTGTGATATGGCCAGGAGTGTGTCTTTCTCTTCATCAGTGGACATCCCTAAATGTGGATGATCATTCTCAGCTGAGGACAGGTTTGCTGATTTCTGCCAGACATCCTTCAGAAAACAATTGGAAGATACTTGTTCCCCAAAGCATCTGTAGAATAACTACTTCAGAACCAGAATCTTCAAGGTTTTTCAGAATCCCTGTTTCAAAGGAGCTTTGTCTTCATCTTTGTATTTGTATTGTTGGCTTTATTTACAATGTTTTATTGTTCTCATAATTTTTTTTTCGTTTTTTGAGAGGAAATGCAGTAGAGAAATAATACATATTATTTTTATTTGATCTTATTTATGTTGTTATTTCTTCTTACACACTTTGATCAACATTAGCCTTTAACTTTGTTTTCTTTATCAACTGAAGAGTAAGAGGGAGGTCAGGATTGCTTTGTTGATAGTGCCCACATCCAAAGGAAGCCCAACTAGCTGTGTCATATTCAGTAAGAAAAACTTACTGGTTGATGACCAGATTCTTGCTGGCTGAGTTTTGTTTTTTATCTGCTACCATGATAGAGGCAGCCTCATTTTCTTCTGCAGAAAAAACCAAAATCAGTGTGATCTACTGTTAAAACTTATAATTTTTCCTTTATTATGTATTTATCTTTTTTTTAAGAGTTAGCATTTAGAGTGGACTTGTCAAATTTTAAAACCCTATTTCAAGATGTTTGCTATTTAGATACCTTGAAATTCCTTTAGTAATCTTCAACAAAGGACTTTGAAGGTGGTTACCCCTTTCAATGACAAAATGCATAACCCTACAAGGAGACACCTGCAGCATTAAGAGAAGGGCAGGCGATGTTGTAGGCATCTCCTGCAGACTTTTTGACAGAGGCTCCCCTGTGCAATGTGGAACATTTGAAGACAAAGCTCTTTTCCCAAAGATGCTGCCAGTCCTTGATGGGAAGGATGAAACTTTCTTAAATGAAAGAGAAGAGCCCAACTGTTGAAGTGGGGAAACAGTTTACACCCTTGTCAACTTGGAGTTTGATGATGATACCTTTTCAATGCAGAGTTGCTGTCATGTAACAGATTTAATTGTACGTGCCTACTGGGGAATATCCCCCCACTAAAATTAATGTGAAGAATTTTTGAGTAGTTCTTATGAGCATGTTTAGGTGTACTTATTTAGCATGCTGGATTTGGGAAATCTTCAAAGCTTTGGAAATGACCTTGATTTGACAACACTTCAATCAAATCATCCTGTCAAAGAAGGACATGAATTGGGTTGTGGTTGGTGAATCGGTGTGGAGGTTCCTTTGAACCTGCCAACTGAAGCAGAAGGCTTTGATGTGCTTTGTAGTCGGTCCCAACACTTCATGGATGTAAGACCTCTCTGTTTCTTCAGGGGTTGATACAGGGCATCTACAGTGTTGCGATACTACTTCTATATAGAGACAGATCCCCCGAGGGGGTCTGACATTGGCTAGCTACTCACGTCAATCAGTTTATACATCATTAAATTCTTGAAAATCAGAGTTGTTGAGAGTGACAAACTTGGGACTGCTGCAGGCTTCATTCTCTTTCTCAACATTCAGCCTCTTTAAAGTGGCTGGTGATAAGTTGCCTTTGTGCTGTTTAGTGACGTGTTTGCTCCTAAATTAGTTTTTCAAGGAAGAACTGGAAATGCAATTCAGATCTTGGCACCCTGACTAATTCAGTAGGCATTCCAGGGTCAAACTTTGTTTCTAAATTTTGCATGGCTGCAACAGGCTGAAGTTTTTCAACAATGATTGTATGGTTGCCAGGATAACATATATGTTGGCTTAAGCAGCTACTGCTTTTAAGAATAGGGTATGACAAGGCTACAAATGCTGCCATTCTATGCCAGGTTTTTTTTCCCCTAGCCTGCTTCTCTTCTTGGTATTGTATGTCTCCATGCCAGCCTCTTTCTACTAATTAACAATTGTCAGTAAGCCATAATTCTGATTCCTGCCAATTATGAAGGGGTTTTTTCCAGGAGAAGTCAAGTTTGCCAATATAATTCCCTCCCCTAGTAAAGGGAAAGTAACAGGAGTCATTCTTCAGTGTTAGCATACCATCCAGACAAAAGAAATGAAAAAGTAAGAGTTTATCTTGTAAACAGTTTTTTTTTTTAAATTTTAAGTTGAAATAAGCAGTTTCTATAAGTTAGGCTCTTTATCGGATATATCGAAGGTAGCTTTGCTATTTTTTTTCTCTCATTTACCGTTATTAAATATTTGCTGGTATCAACTGAAGTTAGGAAGGTTAATGCTCTTTTAAGAGTCTACTTTCTCTGTTATTTTTATTTCCATTCTACCCAAAGTTGAAACAGCTGCAGGCATTTTGAGGCCTCGCAATTATAGCCTATAGATGAACTTTTTTCCCCCCCAAATTGAATCTTGAAGTGGCTCAGATCAAATAAACTGTGCTTGAACCTTGAATTGCAGACTCAAATCAAATCATGCCTTCTTGACATTCTCTGATCTCCAGTTTGAATCACATCAGGGAGGATTCTTACAGGTCTAATATATTCATGCCCTTTCCAGGCTAATATACACCTTCCACATACTGAAAGAAAATGGGAGGTACTATAAGGTCAGGTAGAGGAGGTCAACCAGCAGTGCAACTGCACAACCAGATAAACATCCAGTGAAAGTTAATGAGAGTTTTCCATGTGTACAGTAAGAGGTGTAGCTCTCCCAACCCTGAGAGATGCCTCTCAAACTCTCTCTTTGAGCTTTCCTTTACACAAAGAGAAGATGGTCCCACAATTGATTGAGAGACAGGGGTTTAAGAGAGGTGGAGCTGGCCAGCTCCATTCCAATGCTTTATCAGAACGACACTGTTTAGAATAACGATGTAATATTAAAAAGGTAAAGTTTTCCCTGTCAGTCATATCAAACTCTATGGAACAGTGCTCATCTCTGTTTCTTGGCTGAGGGACCCAGCGTTGTCTGAAGACAATTTCCCTGGTCATGTGCCCAGCATGGCTATATGACAAAGGTAAGGTGACCAACCGTCCTCCTTTAGGGAGGACAGCCCTCCTTTTGTGAGTTCTGTCCTCCCTCGAAAAGTGTCCTCCTACATGTCCTCCTTTTTGATATTTGAAGACTAATCTGCAGGGCTTTTTTTCTCTCTCATAGAACACTCAGAACGGCGTTCCGGCACCTTTTTTTGATGGTTTTTTTTCAACTTTTGCATGAGCTGTGCTACTTCCCCTATTGGCTTTTGAAAGCGAATAGGAATTGCTGCTGAGCACACCAAAACACCTGGCCAGCAAACTTTGCATATGTAAGTTGTCTGCAGCGAAGGCGAATTGGCAGGAACTTTGCACCCCTCCCTGCTACCCAACTACACCATCTCCTAGTTAGTCCCAAAGATACATGGAGGAGACTGGAGCGGTGATGCCACAGTAACTTTCTCTTGATCTTCGGCCCTGCTAGAGCAATAATGGCTGCAGGCGCAAGAGGCAGGGGCGGCGGGGCTGCTATGGGCGGGAGTGTGAGAGGCGGCAGTGGCCGGCTGCCCCCCGTGCCCCCCGTGCTGTGGGAGCCACGGGGCTGCACAGGGTGGGAGGTGGTGCTGGCGGGGCGGCTGCAGGTGTGGTGTGTTGATGGCGGGCTGCCCCCCGGGCTGGAGCCGGCACAGCTGGTGCTTTGGGAGCCACGGGACCTTGCGGAGCAGCAGTGCTGGCGGGTCGGCTGTGGGCGGGGGCGCAGCATGTAAGCATAATTATAATATAAAATGTTATTGTTACAAATGTTTTTATTATGCATTTATCATATTATAGTGTATTCTGTATTATTGTTTCAATGAATAAAATATTTCTTTTATTTACAATATTTTTTTCTTTAATTTATTTGTGTCCTCCTTTTCATTGTAAAAAAGGTGCATGGAACACTGTGACCTTCCCACTGAAGTGGTACCTATTAATCTACACGCATTTGCATGCTTTCAAACTGCTAGGTGGGCAGGAGCTGGGGCAAGGAATGGGAGCTCGCCCCATTAGGCACAGCTCATAAATATACGTAATATTACATATATTTGAAACAGAATACCACCACCACAAAATTGAAAGATGATTTTCCCCCTCTCTCTGTTTACTTACTTCTCTAAACAAAGTTTTAAACACCGTATAGAATGAGAGATGCTAGATGTTCATTACAAACCACAATAATGCCAACATGATATACATGTCATGCCAGTGGTTAAGTGATGCATTTATATGATGAACTACGATGTCTAATGTGTGTACATAAAACATGTCTCTACACAATTTGCTTCCCATTCTTTCCCCCTGTAGATGCCGATAGGCCTGATTCACTAATGCCTAAAGGTGCTGCAACAATGGTTCATTTGGGTGGATTGCTGTAGCACACTTCCATCAAACCCATAATGCAGTGTTTCTCAACCTGAGCAACTTTAAAACGTGTGGATTTCAACTCCCAGAATTCCCCAACCAGCCATGCCACAATAGATTCATTTTACTTCTTTTTCCATCTGTATTAGGAAATAGGGAGAAAGGAACACTCAGCAGCACAATTTGTATATAGCTTTCCATTTTTCAATACTAAACATTCAGTTGGTCAGTGCCTAATGTGTACATAGCTGTTTATTATTTGTTAAATAGTAATTAAATAATTAAAGCAGAGCCAGGTTTTAAGGCTTTTCAGAAAAGCCAGGAGTGCGGGGGCTGACCTCATCTCGGAGGGGAAAATATTCCAAAAGGCGGGGGCCACAGCAGGAAAGGCTCTTCTCCTGAACCCTGTTATCTGAAATGTATGTATTTATTCGAGTTATAGAGCCATCCATCTCACAGCAGGGACTCTGGGCAACTATCATAAGATGCATGCTTATCCCGCAAATTACAGAAACAGAGACAAGGTATCCCTGGAGAACATTGGTACAGTTCTTTCCCATCTCTGTGTGTTTTTTTTTAAACCAGTGAAAAGATTAATACTCAGGATTGCTCAAGATTCAGAAGCAGGCAGATGCCTATTGATAAGACAGCAAACTGAAATCTATTTGAAAAGAAATGAATATTTCCCCCCCTCACTATCCTAAATAAACAGATGTTCTTCCTAATCTCCATTCACTTTACTTACTGCCTTATCTGTGACCTTTCTTTTGAAGGCATTCATGGGAGAGAATAGCTGTATTTATCTACCTGCTGTCCCTCCATCTGCCTGGGCTGCAAACAAATACTCACAAATTATATTTTCTTTGTGCAACTTTGAATGACAGGAGCATTTGCAAAGTCTTTTTATGCAGAGAATGATCAGACATTATCTCCTTGGTATTGAGCAAAAATTTGAAAGCTTGTCCACATCTGGACAGTTTATCCAGCAGCAGTTATCCAAGCAGAACTTGGATCTCTGAACACGGATATTCGTGTCATATCCTCACACAGAAGGACATCTTTATTCTGAGTATTAATCTAAACATTAGAATGCTTCTCTGATCTGCTAAAGCAAATTATATGGTTATTATTTAATTATATAAATAGCTATAAGCCATGTTAAACTCCGTGCACATAATTCTATGCAAGGACTTGTTTTAATCCTGCTAAGTCATTGTCAGTCTTGCAGTCGATTCTTGATTTATTTTCTCTTCTGGATCCATAAACCAACCTATAGTTGCCAAAAAAAAAAAAAGAATGATTTATTATCTGGAATGGATTCAGATGTTCAAATAACATGCCCATGCACACACGCAGACACCCAGGCAAAACAAATTGTACCCTAGTGTTATGTGTAAGCCCAGGACATTTTTTTTTCATGGCTAACATAACATTAGCAATTAAAGTGCAATAAACCCAGATCACACTAAAAAAAAAAAAAAACAGCAGCACTGGGATCATTTTAAATGAAAGCCTGTTGGAGGAATAACAAATTATACCAAACAACAGCAGATTGTCAACTATCAGGGACTTAGTAACACTTCTCAAGAAAGCAATCTAATATATATGACTTTTGAATTTCTATTTTACTACTGAAAGATTTGAGGCTTCACCCAAAACTGCTTTTTCCAAAAGGAAACTGGACTTTCTTGGTTTTTTAAAAAACATTTTGCTTCTCATCCAAAAATCTTCCTTAGTTCTAACTAACGGTGGGGAATAGAAGGTCTTATATTCTTTGCAGTCATCAGGTCCTTAACACTCTAAGGCAGGGTCTTCAAACTTGGCCCTTTTATGACTTGTGGACCAACTCCCAGGCATGCTGGCTGAGGAATCCTGGGAGTTGAAGTCCACAAGTCATAAAAGGGCCAAGTTTGAAGACCCCTGCTCTAAGGGTTGGTTCTTAGCTTTCTGAGAGTCCTGAGGCCACTCAGTGGTTTATCTGTATCTTCAGAGTCACCTGAATGAGAGCATAAACAGGTGTGGTACCTTCTTGGGACTGCTGAAAGGACTGGGTTGTAGACAGGAGATCAGTGGTGTTGTGTCCCTCCCACTCTGTTGAGGGAGGGCTGTTCAATTTTAATATAGATAGCCTATTTGACTCCTCTTTCAGACCCCTCTGGACCTCTCTGTCCAGAATATGAACTATGCTGTCTTCAAAGAGTGAACTTTGTCTTTCAGATCCAGATGGACTGCTGAATCTTGCCCTGATGAGTTGGTTATCCAGTGTTGTGCCATGTGTTTGTATATGTATTTCTTGTGCCTTTTGGAAAAAGCACCTTTTGGGGCAACCAGGACCTGGATGATTGAGAATCTGCTCCATAGATATTTGAGGTTTGATGCATTTCCTTGGGAGGGAATGTCTCAGCTTGGGCTCTATCTCAAAAAATGCCCTCTTTGGCTGTCAACCAAATAGATTTTATGGCTGAGCCTTAGGAAATGGTTGGAAACACCCCTTGTGAACAGGGCCTCATGCCCCACACCCAGACTGCCTCCTGAGGGAGAGGTTCTTTTCATCCACAGATTGAGATGCCCTGGTGAAGCATGGATGGCTGGGGGATTGTGGGAGTTGAAGTCCACCTATCTTAAAGTTGCCAAGGTTGAGAAACACTACCCTACTGCCCCCCTTGTACATATAGAAAAAGATTGGCCTTTAGATGAGAGGAAAGTATGATGGCCTAAGAAACGTTGCCCTCACAGTCTACTCCTCAGCACACAGTTCAGGGGTGGATGGTTTCGGAGTTGAGATTGCTGGCTCCTTGCCATTCTTTCCCTTCCCATCTAGGTCATCATCAATTGCCGCTCTGAAAAGGGACAGGCAAGTGAGTCAGGACTTAATATTCCTTTCAATTCAAAGTCATCCATATAGCACAACCTCTATAGGGCTGGAAAGTTTGCTAAATTTCTTCATCAATGATACATTGGCAGGAGAGAGGGGAGAAATCTACTAGCATCTCAAAGTAAACAAACAAAACCAGAAAACAAAAAGCATTTTTTAAAAAAAAAACAGTTGGGGGTTCTGTTCAAGATATAAACCTAGAGAGAGTTACTCTTTTAACTCGGATCATGTCCTAAATTCAAGGGGCAGGCTCTGTGTGAGATCTCCAAAGCAGGGACCTGCCAACTTCCAGGCCCAGCCAGGCTTATCTTCTGATCCCAGACAAAGTCTACCAAAATGTTTTTTCCTAAGTTTAAAATGTCATCTTAGGTGGCAGTTTTCCAAGCCTTGAGTATACCTGATTTCATGTTTCTATTTCTGCTTGTTGGCAATCCATCTGTCAACTTTGAAAATGAGCATGGCTGCAGCCATTTTCCCTACTCATTTTGATTGACTCATAACACAGAAGGAGGGGGGTTTGCCAGGTGCTTCGCTGGACTAAACAGATTTTCTCCCGTGGGAACCAAGGTCATCGACTGTTCCTGGGACTTCAGGCTGGGCGTTTCGTGAAAAGCCCACCAAGAAGATGTATTGGGGAACGTAGTAGCTTGCATAGCTTTAGGGGGAGGGGATTTCTTAACTTTGTATTGGGGATTGTTATGTGTCTATTCAGACTTGGTTTCACTTTTGATGTGCCGATACTTTGTATCAATAAAGATATTTTTTGTGGAATTTCCAAGCTTCAGACTTCTGCTTTATTTGTCTCTGTCTGTCAGAACCATGACACCATCATCTTCCCCAGTTCTACCACTTAAGTTGTGGACCCTAGCAGTCATCTATGCTTTAGGTAGTGTGATGGCTCCTTATGATGCTGAGGACTGATATAAGCTTTTACCTTCACTGTTGTCATCTACTTTCCAGAAATTAAAAAAGGGATAGAAAGCTGGCTGGGTTTATTGAAACTCTTTCAAGTTGCAAATTTTCACCATGACTTTGTTTAGATACATTCTTCCAGTCTTGGGAATGCATGCAGAACTGGAAGCTGCAACACGGCTTGGATTGTTCATATCAGCGATGGTGCTTAGATATGGAATGGGATCATATTTGATGACAAAACTACAGAAATGTTTGGGTGAAGAAGAGAATTCTTGCAACCAAAGATCCAAGGCATTAAGTAGCTTACATTCCTACAATCTTAACTCATTTTGCTTTACATACTCACAGGTAGTCTGCTTGGGGAGGAATCAGTCTAAGATAAGGATTAGTGTTAGATTTAGGATCAGCATCAGGGATAGAGTTAACTCTCTGCTTTACTGGGTGAAGGATTCAGACATTGGACCAGGAGTAACCAAAACCTTAAAAATAGTGATGATGATATTCTATGCCTTGTATTCAGACAAAAATTCTGCAGGCTCCACTGAAAATGATACTAAAAGCACAACAGCTTGAAATCTCTGAGCAGTAAATGCAAACAAACACAATGAAAACTATTAAGTAACAATAGCATGTCTCCAGATGTTGTAACTCAGACATGTCACACTTGTGACATCACGTGACATCGCACAACGTATTGGGATGGTTTTGCCATTGCTGGAAATGGGGTGGGTGCGGCTTCTGGATGACATGTCTGGCCCATGGGCCGGCAGTTTGACACCCCTGTTGTAACTTCTCAGTACATCTTTAGCTATGCAGGATGGGGCTTCTGGGGGTTGTAGTTCCAATATTTCTGGAAGACACTAGTTCTGGTGAAGATGGATTTACGGTATTTACTGCCTCTTTGTTTTTTAAAAGTATCCCGGGGTTGTAGGAAACATCCCCAGCTTTAGGAATTAAATTCCCTTACTAAGTTTCATGCTAAGGTACTTAGAAGATTTCACAGAAAGATGTAACACAATTTTGTGCACAAGTATATGAGCTTCTGATTCAATTCATATATCTATTGCACCAGACCATGGCCTGCCTTAATGGCCTGTTTAAACATAACTTTAATCATCGACCATAATGACTGGGAACATGTAACACAAAATAAAAACCATGCACGGACTTCTGGCTATACCATCGTGCAGCTGCGGACGCAGGAAGATGAGCTCCGTCTTTCGCGTTTGAATTTGTTCTGCTAGGGGACCCTGGAAAGGGTCGGAAGTTGCCCTGTAGGGATGATGAGCAAGGAGGGGACCCCCGTTTGATTGCGGGAGGGAGGCAGCCCTTCCATTTGATCCGAGGAAGCCCTCCAAACTGTGGGGGAAAGACTGGCCATACCACTATGGCCAGTCACTAAGCTGCTGATAGCTGAAGTCAAAAGCACCACCCAGCAACTTTAAAGCAATGTAGATGAAACTGGGTAAGACCTGACCCTCTCTTTAAGATTTTAAATATTTTTTCCTGTAAAAACTGCCCAAAGGATTTTTCCCCTGTGAGGATAGAGGGAAGGGAATTTTTACCCCAGCCTCTAAGAAAAGTGGCGACTAACTACCCAGGGGAAGCATAGCAATATAAGAACAATTTTATTCTAATTGGATGTATATTCTTTTGAAACTTGGGGACTAAAAGTGTTCCTTTTCTCATTGGATGCATTTGTTTTTTATTTTTTTTAAAAAATAAGACTTGGACTTAAAAAGTTTGGACTTAAAATTTTGGACTTAAAAAGCTTAAAATGGCATTGGTGACATCTTGTGGCAAAGTATGATATTACAATTTGTTATTGCCTAAAAGAGACTTGGCTTGAAGCCCAGACTTCAGATAAAATTTCTTTGACCTTGACAGTTACCACCTGTGAAAAACCCAGCTGTAAAGAAGGGACTTCTGGGCAGCATATCTGGCCTGCTTGAACTATGAATGTAACTGACTTTCAGAGCTATACTTGGGGAATTGCTTTCCTATTTCTTTACATGAGAAACATATGTTATTATATGAGATGATGGAACACCTTGAACTATAAACTCTTACTTGAAAAATAATTTCTACTATAAAGACCACTTATAAAATGTGAAACAGATGTCCCATGCCCAATTACAAAAGACAAAAAACTATTTTTAACATTTGATTCTAAAGTCTTTAATTTAACATACTATCAAGAGAATATGGATGAAGACCAGGAAAAAAATCCTTTCCATGTTGAAATCAATACACAAAACCATCCTTTCAACAGACCAAGCCAATGGAAAAATCAGAAAAGGGAGTGACAACATTGAAACTGGAAAAACTTTTTACAAAAATCAGAAGAAATTTGAGGAAAAGGAAGAACAGACTGAATGGAACGTATCAGGACAATTGCGGGAAATTGGAATAATAGGGAGGCAATTTAACTAATACAAATGGGCTCATTCTTCCAAAAAAAACCCCAACCAAATGGTCTTTCTTATTCCAAATAATATATATAATAATAGAGGGAGAACTATTTGATGATTCAAAGGCACTGACATGAAAGGTTAGCTAGCAAAGGAAGAAAGCCAGAGTAAGGCTGAAGAAAATAATGGCTTTGATTTATTAGAGGGGATATTATATTACTAATTAGAGGGTTGAATATGGTGGAAATAGATAACTTTTAGAAAATAGAGTAATATTATAACTGAATAGATAAGATGTGTAACAAGACTATTAGATTTTGGTATGAAAAGGGAAAAAGGGAGAAGTTGAGATAAGGGAAACTTTGGTCACCTATCATAAAATATTTGGAAATCATAAATACCAGTGTGCATAGGCTAAAAAGTATTGATAAATGTAATAAGAATGTTTTTACTTAGTTGAAAATAATAATTCTATTTGCCCAATATGAGATAACAGATATTACCAGAAAAAAAGAGGGAGTATTTGAGCTTCCAATATTAGACCTAAACTAAAAAAAATAAATGTATATTACTGAATTATTGGTTAACCCAGGCAACACCTAGAATGGTTTCAACTTATTAGAGGGGATACTGTATTATTTATTAGATGGTTTAATATGGTGAAAAATAGATAACATTTAGAAAACAGAATAAGACTATAATCAAATAGATAAGATGTGTATTTAGAATATTAGACTTTGTTATGAAAAGGGAAAAAGGAAGTACTTGAGATAAGGGAAACTTTGGTCACCTAAATATAAAATACTTGGAAATTATAAATAACATATGTTAATTTGAATATTGATGGGAAATTAAAGCTTGGGGAAAAAAGCAATAACAGGACATTGATTGTATATAAGGATCAAATGCAAACACAATTAAGATATGTATAAGCTAAAAAATATTGATAATTGTAACAAAGATGTTTTTATTTAGTTGATAATAATAAGAACTGTATTAGCCCAATATGAGATAGTAGATATTAAGGGAAAAGGAGAGGAAATATCTGATGTTGTAACATGATATTTATACTAGAGACTTATGTATGCTATTGCACTATTGAATAACCCAGTCATCATGTTGCTTTTTAAATACTCAATTGTAAAATGAGAGAATTAATAAAATATTATTAAAAAAAATAAAAATAAAAACCATGCAGAACAGAGGCATGACACTAGGAAATTGATGATTGAATCTCCCTCGCTCCCCTCCTTCTGTCCCTGCCATAAGTATGTTCAATGAGTAATTATAAATTCATCTTATTTTCATCTGTGAGCCCCTTCCCAATTTAAAAGCTGATCATATATCCCAATAACACTATAGGTACCCAAGCAATGAAGGAGGAGGGAAAATGTACCCTAGCAAAAGTCTACATCAATTATTGTTTCAGTGATGAGAACAAAAACTGAAATATGACAGAGGTTTATTGTGTTGGTTGTCCCTGTAACATTTCCCCCAAGAAACCTATTTGCATAAGGGCAAATCAGATGGATGGCCCCATCATTTCTAAGAGATTGTAAGGAATGTCCTTGAGAATTACAGACATTTGAGACCTCAAAACTGTTTCCGTATAAATCTGAAAGGCATGAATGTGTACTTTAAATCAGTGCATCATCTGTGCTATTGAAGATGCGTGAATATTATGTCTGAATAACAGCCATCCAAATCCACCTCATCTTTTCCTTTAGAAGCATCCCAGCAGAATATCAGTGGGAATTCATGAGTGGGAACCAGTTGTTTTTTTTTCGGAACATAATCTGTTTAGCTCTTGGGGAGTTTAGCCTCAGTTCTCACCAGGTGGAGATCTAATGGATAAATATTTCTTCCCGAGCACTGATTTCTTTTCCTCTCAAATATTATTTTCTTTGTCCGCTAAATGATGTGGAAAGGGAGTTCATCTCAAGCTGGAGCTTTCCAGACCACCAGCAGAGAGACTTCTGACTAGCTTTTTAAGCATGTGGCTGGTTGAGTATCTGAGTTAAGAATAAAGCAATTATTAACGGCAAAGGCTTAAAAAAATATTTCTATCTACATAACTTTATGCACTGTTCATTATCTTTCTGCTGGCTTTTCACAGTCAGTTAATAAAAGTTTTTAAAAAACCTTTTGAATTTACAGTTTAACATTTGAATCTGAAAACAAATTTTGAACAAAAATTGAATGGGTTTGATAGATGAGAAAAGTTACTCTGTTTTTTTAAAATAAAAATTTTATTGGGTTTTTCCTGTTTCAGTTTTATTAGGTCTCAATAAAAAAAAATCACTAATGATCCAAAATTGCAACTTGAATACCAAAATGTTAAATATTACTGCACACCAATTACCGTATTTTCCGGCGTATAAGACGACTTTCTAAAGCATTCAAATCAGCTCCGAAGTAGGGGGTTGTCTTATATGCCCAGTCATCTTATACGCCGGAAAATACTGTATCCAGAATAAAGTACTGTGAGTGCTAGATACCCATTGTAAATAGTGTTATAATTCAATTATAACAATATCATCACACATTAAATTTCAAATACCTTAGAAAACCATGTGAAAATGGCAACTTCTTTTTTCCACATTTTCCTTATTCCTGAATTTCAAGTGCTTCCTTTTGCTTTTCTGCACAATTCTGCTTCCTTCTTCCTCACTCATTAATTTATTTCACTTCATCATCCATATTCCCATACCATGAAATCTCCAACAAGTTCTTTGTTACCCTTTCCCTGTCTTCTACCTATTTCTCTTTAAGTTCTTCATTTCATTTAGCAGACTGTGTTGTAATGCTGGTTTCAGGTGTGGCTTGGTAGAAATGAAGACAGAGTCCTGGTATTTGTTTTGACAAGCTTTACGCATTTATTCAGCTGAATAAAGATGGACCCCTTCAAGAGGAAGGGAACTCTGAACACTCTTTGACATTCATATTTATATGTTTGCTAAGTTGTTTACTTAATCACCTGGAAGAGATGGCATGCTCCACCCAGACATGCTGGCAGACTCTAGATAAGACAAAGAAGCTCAGAAATAGCAAACCGCCTCCCTTGGAAACCTCCCAAGGACATTGGGTGGCATCTTAGGAATATTGGGTGTTTCCCGGGGAACTTTCCATGACCCTGAAGGCCTGCTGAGGTAATGGTGCCAACTGCATATAAGTTCCCTCAAGGTTGTCATTAGAATTATTAGTCTGCTGATCAACAGTATTTCATTGGGGGCTAATTGTGGATGAAATGAGTTGACATTGTAGGAGATGACCAGGCTGAGCCTCAGGGAGTCAAAAGCCTCAGTAGCCAAGAGTCCTTTTGTGCCCACAAGAGATCTAAATCCAGCCAACTTTGAATTCCTTTCTATTCTTAATTCCTGCTAATTTCCCTTGACTGTTAGTAGTTCAGATTCTTGTAGAGAGCTTAAGCTTACAATAAATCTTTATACTTTTGAACTGCCTGAGTCTCCTGATTTTCCTGGTGTTGACAGATGTCAGAATGGAGACCTCTCCCCTTGAATCTCTCAGGTAGTCTAATTGTGCCAGAGATCACTGGCAAATCTCAGCCTGCTTAGAAAACAGATACAGATGTAATATGTATGCTACACATCAACTCTCCTAAGTCTATCTTCTAAGTTTTGACACTGTGCCTTTATTCAAATCACAGTCTCCCCTTGCTGGAAAGTGTTATTGATGACTGCACATACCTGACAAAGCCATTCCAATGAAAGAATAGAATAGAATAGAATAGAATAGAATAGAATAGAATAGAATAGAATAGAATAGAATAGAATAGAATAGAGCTGGAAGGGACCTTGGAGGTCTTCTAGTCCAGCCCCCTGATCAAGCAGGAGAACTTATACCATCTCAGACAGGTGATTTCAGTTCAACCACATCACATGGTTATAGATACTATGAAGAAAGCGTACAAGTACCTTAACCTGACTACAGTATAAGGGAAAAAAATTTAGATCTTAAAAGAGTTCAGTCAGAACTCAGATGAAATTAATAAAATCCTCCCCACTTAAAAACAACATTCATTTTTTAAAATGGAGTTTTCTACTTGTTAAGCAGTATCAGTAAAGAGGAGGGCCCCAAATTAAGCATTTATAATAATCAGTTCATTAATTAAAGTATCTATTATGGCTACAGAAGAAAATTAAGAGCTCAACATTAAATTGAACTTTTAATTACTTTTTTTAACCAACAAAACAAAACAAAACAACACACATACACACACAGTATATACTCCTCCCCCTTTTTTTAACAGCGATTACGTAACGGTAATCTTCTGTTATTTACATTTCCCCCCTTATTCTTCTTTAGAATATTTGTCCTTATTGCCCCATTGTTTCTTATTTACATTTTTCTTTCTTCATATTCTGCTTCTTACTAAGAATAATTCATATTAATATTATTATACATTATTATACACATATTTTCACTTTTGATCTTTCCATATTTATTCTCTATTATTTCTAGTCTCCAACCAGTCATACCACTTGTTCCATGTTATATAGTACTCTGTGTCTTCCTTTTCTTTTATCTCTTTTGTTAGAACTTTTAATTACTTTTAAAAGGTTTAATTCTAGGAATGTTATGTCTTAGATAGCCAATACTTGTGCATAGTTTGTATTTATTTTGATGCCATTTGAAAAGGATAACTTTTCAGACATGATCAATTTTGGACTACAACCCTCATAAATTGCATACAATGTGGCCAAAAGTGATTTTATTCAGCATATTGGAGTGCATATAGGGAGCTTCGCATAATGGGCAGCTATTACGAAATATTGGATTGAAGGTTAGAATATTTTCAAATTTAAGGCACCACCTGACATTTTCAACTATGTACTACTAACCTGAAGTGTTTTTCTGTAATATGTTAATTTATAAGTGAGGGGACTCTATTAATCAAAAACATCTTAGAACAAAAACGAGAGATAAAAAGAGTTGCATGCAAAGGCATAAGGTTATTAACTAATAAGAAAGTAAATAGTGATTTCATCCTCATCTGCATAGGGTCATTGCGCTGCCTGAAATCAGGTCTGGACCTGACCGGATGCCTCTGGAATTCGTTAGATGGTTTGTGAGATCATTTTGACTGAGTCTTGGGAAAGGCAATCAAAGAGAATACATCACCTCTCTTTGTAGCTTAAATCATTAGAAGAGAAATGGCATAAAAGGCAGGATTTCCAAGGAGAGAACATTGCCAGCTGTATAAGAAAATTAACTTCAGCCTCTGAAACTGAGACTCTCAGGCCAGTGCCTATCAAAGAAATGGAGCATGAATCGAGTTAGCCTACCAGGGGCAATTGGACCGAACAAAAGGCAGGGAGAAACCGGGATGACCCATATTCAGCAAGATATTTGTCAAGCCGGCTAGAGAGCATTTCCTAATTTGGCCTTGAGGAATATTACTGAGGAGTTGTGGGGGCTTTTAGGCTGAGCCAGGCAATTATCAAAGTTTGCTTCTTCTAACCAGCAGCTTGCCCCTCTAGCAAGATGTAGCTTTCCTATCTATGATTGTGAAGATTCCTATGACATCATGACAGCCAGCACAGTGGCTTGGTAAACTCAGTTTCTTCTGGAAACGAGCCTTTCCTAATCAGCAGAGCCACAATTTGCTAGGAATGTTCTTTAGTATTGACTTAAAGAGCTGTCCTTCTAAGAGGCATTTCCCCCCCCCCCCCACAGTAACACCTTGCTAGAGGAAGCTGCTGGGTTTTCAGAGAGACTGGCAGGCAGTTTGGCAAGGTGGGAAGTGCCTTACAAAACATCAGAGTGGGGTGACCAAGTGGAAAACCTTTACCAGGTAGCCAGTGGTGGGATTCAAATATGTGAACAATCGGTTCTCTGTGTGGATGCCACTTCTGGAAGTTCATTCTGGGCTTGGGCAACAAAAATTATCTACTGGTTCTGCCAAAGTGGTGCAAACTGGCTGTATCCAGCCACTGCAAGTAGCTGGTTGGTCAATGACGGCACTAAAAGACTTGAAATGATAAATTCACATAGTTGTAAAGGGTTGTTTAGGCAACTGACTCCTTGATCGATCTGCAACCACTGATTTGACCACTGGACTCAACAGCCTAGTACAGTCATCATAGCAAGGTGGTTGGAGACACAAGTAAAGATGTGGACTTGATCTAAAGGCAAATTCTAATTTTAGCCCAGAGATATTAACCAAACTCTGGCTCCTTATTCCCTAAGCAGAAACTTTTGCCTTCCTTAAAAGCAGTGCACCTATGAAAACAACAACAACAACACTCATATCCTGTTCTAAACTTAGCACTTCGGAAAAAACTAAGATACTCTTCTAATATGTTAAGCAGGAATGAACAAGAATGGTCTTAAGGGGATCAGTGCTGTCCTGTCTTGTGTTAAGTGTAAGGCAGAGGAACGATAGTTGCAGATAACAAAATTGAACCATCAGCTGCCTGCTGGAAGAGATCACATGTAATGCTATTTGCACATCTCTTACAGAACGTGCCTCCCCTCAGGCTGAGAGGAAAAAGTGATGTTGCTTCCTGCTGATGGAAAGGAAAGTTTGGAGGGCATGGATGCTGACACCCTCCTATTCTACCAAAATCTCATCTCCTTTCTGTAATAGTCTGCCTGCAATAGAAAGGTCTTTTTGCTTTGAGACAGGAGAAAGAGTGCCTGTGGATACTGGCGCAGAGGAATTGTCTTTGAGTTGTTCCTCTGATGCACTTGTCATAGGAGCTGTCTCTCTCCGTGCCACATGGTTATCGGCCACACGTGGAGATAATAGAGAAGGAGATGAGCTTAACCAGTATGCAAAGGTCATCTCTTGCTTTCTCTTATCCTACCTGGAATGAATTGCAGAGCAAACAAATGGATAAGAAAACACAAGAAGAACAGAAACAGAACGTGGTGGTGGAGTGATTAGAATGCAATATTGCAGGCTGACTCTGCCCAACGGCAGGAGTTTGATCCTGAGTGGCTCAAGGTTGACTCACCTTTCCAACCTTCCGATGTTGATGAAATGAGGACCCAGATTTTTTGGGGGGAGGGGCAATATGCTGACTCTGTAAACTGCCTACAGAGTGTAGTAAAGCACTATGAAGCGGTATATAAGTCCAAGTCCTATTGCTCTGTTAGGCAGAAGTTATAAGATATTGATAAAATTCATTGTGTAACTCATGTCAACTCCAGAGAACTTATTGTACATCTCAGCCCAACCTGAGTATATAAGACTAAAGGCCCAACATTCTCAACTGTCTGCAACAACCCCAAAGAATCAAAATCGGTCAGTATGAAATTTTTAAGAAGAGATTGGACAGCCATTTGTCTGAAATGGTATAGGGTTTCCTGCCTGAGCAGGGAGTTGGACTAGATGACCTCTAAGGTCCCTTCCAACTTTATTATTATTATTATTATTATTATTATTATTATTATTATTATTATTATTATTATTATTATTATTAATTATTATTATTATTATTATTTATTATTATTATTATTATTATTATTATTATTATTATTATTATTATTATTATTATTATTATCTTTTATTCATTAGACATGAACCTCAGTCAACTGAACATTCAAATTGACTGGTGCTGATGGTTGTCACTGGTTGCTACCAGCATCCTAGGTGTCAACCAGGTATCTCCTTAAAATATAAAATGTTCCAAGTAGCACAGTTTTTTGTAACATTGCTGGAGTTATTGTAGGAAGCTGCAGTTTCTTGATGTATTTTGCAAAATTTTTGGACATATTTCCCAGTGCCCCAATGACAATGGGTACCACTGTTATATGTTTCATCCATAATCGTGCAGTTTTGATG